GTCTACTCTGTGAACATTCACTAAGATGTCATAGCCTAACACTAGCTTTAGTTGTTCAGTACCTGAGAGCAACACTCTGAACTAGACTCTCCCAGAAAGTCACTGTTCCCTAAGTGAGATTTACCAATGGTGCTAAACTATCTCATGGGGGGCACCTTTGGAGCCCCTCCAGTTTTGTACACTTTGGATTCTTTTCCTAAAGAGGGTCTACCAGAGTATCTGAATTGCATGCCCTGTGGTGCAATGAAACCTATTTAGTGTTTCAACCGGATAGTGTGTTTCTGGTGGATATTACAGTTTCTGCCAATGGTGACCTCACCATTTCATTTGAATTGTGGAAAGGAGACGGGTCCACACCCACTGGACATTGTTAGTGTCCTAAGAGCCTAGTTGGAGGCCGCTGCCTCACTCAGAGACTCTGAGCATCCATTCATTATACAGCAGTGAAAGACTAAAGGAAAAGAGGCGTCTTTCAGAATGCTAACTTCATGGATTATTAAAGTAATTCAAAAGACCTATAGCTTAAAGGAGAACTATGGGGTTAAGGCTTTTCCCCATAGTTCTCCTTAGGGTAACGGGAGGACACAAACTAGCGTCCTCCCGTCACCCTAGGCTCAAGCTGCTGCTCGCGGTATACTGAGACGCCGCAGCTGAAGCGGATCCCGACAATTGTGCCGGGATCTGCCCAGCTGCGTGACTGACAGCTGGCTCTGCCTATCTAGAGGCAGAGCCAGCTTTTCCCGCCCCCTACCCTGTCCGATCCGCCAGTCAGCACTGGCAGATCGGATCGGGGAATCCAGCCCCTCCCCTGTCATGGCAGAGAGCCGTGACAGGATCGAGAGGTGAGCCAACGCCGGTATGTGTTCGCTCACCTCCCGATCTACTGAGCCAACCTGTGACAGTCTTATTGCCACAGGCCGGCTAGAACTCTGAGGTGAGTGAAAAGCACTCACCTCATAGTTCTCCTTTTATTCCTGCCAGTGTTAGAGGAGGTGACTGCACACTCTACACATGGTACTTTGACTTTTTGGGCAGCCTCTTGACAGGTGGCAACAGAGACCATATGCAGGGGGGCTTCTTCATCCACTTTTTTGTTGCACTACCATGTTGACTTGTCTTCTCTCACCATAGTGGAGTTTAGCCCAGAAGTCCAATTGATCAACTCTTCAGATAAAAATACTCAAGCATCCCTCTCTTGTTTGTATAGTTAATTCCCAGTAGTGTGATTCCAGGGAGATGTCAGGGAAATGGAAAATTGATGTTCATATACTTACCATAATTTCCCTTTCCTGAATCTTCATGGCATTTTACGGGTTCCACACGGGACCTAGGTAAGAAATACTGTCTTGGGGGTGGAGGGGCTGTTCGATTTATTGGTATATGCTTTTATGATATTATGGAGGAATGGGTGTTAACCTGTTAGTATGATGCCAGAAAAGGAAATTTACCTTTTTGGGACATTATTTTTTTTTCTTTAAATATGGTGGGGAAAGGGTTAGACTCACTGTCAAGCTTTTACTGCTGTCGTTTTCCCTATTAGAAAGATTCACCCCTCTATTTGTACTGGTGACCACTGTCATCTAGAAAGAAAGTGAGGGGAAATCCAAACTTTTAATGTGGGCACCTGTTCTGGGGACAACTGCCTTAGAGGGAAATTCATAGGTTAAAGTGCATCTAAGTTGTAAAGCAAACATTTTTTTTTTGTTTGGAAAGAGGTGAGGGATTAGAACCGCAGGTAGGTTTTTTTTGTATTTGTCCTTGATGGGAAGGTTCACCAGAAAGGTCTTTGAAATAGTCAATATTTTGACAAAATGCGTCAGATGGAAGTTTATTTATCCATGTTGCAGTTAATAGAGCAATATTTATTGAACACTTGGTCCAAGCGAATGTTTGCTTTTATAATGTATGTATTTTAAATAAACGAAATTAAACTATTAGGCTTTTATTCTGCATCTTTTTTTCTAGAATTCTTTATTTTGTAAAATAGGAGAATCCATATAAAGACACTTCAAATACACTGTAAATCATATAAAATAAAATGACTATATCACATTGCAGATAGTGTGTATTAACTCAGAAGCATGGATCCCACTCACTTTCAAGTTTTGTAGACAGCACAAATGAACAGGAAAAAAAGGCACAGCGAGGAGGGGGAGCATAGGTATTACAAGACAGATACAGTCCTCCTGTCCTCACCCGATGGTAGGGTCATAATTGAAAATCATATGTTCGAGAGGCGCTTAGTGATCATATTCTGCATCTTTTTACCACGTGGGAGAGGAGGCACGAAATATAAAAAGAAAAGATATTGATGATCACATTTTCTCTGTAATTGAGAGTTGGGCATGAAGAAAATGACCAATCCTGCAAGCTGATGACAAGACAGAGGAGTGTCAGCACATTTACCTTTCTGTAGTGGGGAGGTAAATGAACTGATGAGTGGCTGTCCAATTTGGACATGCCTTTGCATATTTATAGTGATTTCTTCAGGAGCACATGTGAACAAGTGAAGAAAAAGAGCACACTAGCACTTTATATTATTGCCTTTTTTTGTGGGGAACAAAGGTAGTTTTGTAGTTCTGCAGACTATGATTTAACAAATGTAGATATTGTTAGCATTACTGAGCACATGAGCACTTCAAAGCACATTAGTGTGAATTATTTAGTTTGTATAACGCATGCTGTGTTTTGTAGTACCATGAAAGATTTTTGTTTATTATGTGTTTGGTCTGTTCATTGTTTTTTTTATTGATTGCAATTTATATATATGATATTCATTGAAATATTTGGAGATTCATAGTATAAGTGGTTTGTATGTAGGTAGCTTACTAGGAGCGCTGCAGAGATCATGTTGCTGTATTTAAGAACTGGATAAATAGTTGATGGTTTATTTGTACAGTTTTTGTATATTTCTGTTAGTATGAATTTAATCCAATGCAAGCAGATGTAAAAATTTTTTTTTTTTCTCTTTTGGAAAGGGAGAGAGATCTTAACTACTCAAAAGAATCTAATTGATCAGTTTCTTTTATAGTTTTAAATTAACAAAATTTCCACCTTTTGGAAAAGGAAATGAAATAAAAAAATTAGCATTTTTTTTTTTTACAGCCTGCAACTACAATCAGTGGATTGCGGATGCAATGCACATGCTCCTGCAGACAGTTCCTTCACCTCCAGGTCTGTACCGTGGTTATGAAGCTGGAGGAAGTAATCAATGGACTACAGGTGCAGTAACCCAGATTAATTATCAGATAATCAGAATAATTATCTCAGATTCCAGTGCAATTTGAATTGTTTGGTTGCTTGAATGCAGAAATCGCTTGAAACACTAGGAGGCAGATTGTTGTGGATTGCTTCAATTTCCAGAAATCTTTATAAAACATTAAACTAGTGGTAAATCCGAAAATTACCACAAAATTATCATGTATATTCATAGCTTTAGGAGCCACTATGTGTAATAATACTCAGGCAGAACTTTTAACAAACTTACTTATATTTTTTGGAGAATGTATTTTATCATTTTAATATTTAAGCTGACTTTTTTTTAAATAAGAAAAAGTGAATATAGTATCTTATAGTATCTAGTTGTTAGAGCTGTGTTATACCTGAGAGAGAACAGCACTGGGGAAGTGCAGGTCGGGGTCTGTCTTCTGTGCGACGTTCACATGACAGGGGTTCACAAACACCAATCAAAATCCACCAGTCCCCTTAATGAACACAGCAAAGATGCTTTTAATACAGATATCTGTATGAGAATATACTTAAAGCGAATTTTAAAAGCTGGTTTAAAATTGGAGGAAAGAAAATAATGTGTTGTCTTCAACAACCTACTTCCATTTTTTCTTACCATTAATAGTCAAACCTATTTTTTCTTTTCATTTAATGAAATAAAAAATGTACAAAAGTAAAAAAAAAAAAAAGTCCTTTATGTCACTTATAAATAAATGTGTAATGCTTTGCACTAAAAAAAGTATATAATCTTAAAAAATATTATAATTGTAAAACTTAAAAATGATATAATCATAATAAACTGGGTAAATTATACAAGAACATGTACACTCTTTACACTAGTTGTTTTAAAACTAACACTGATCAAATAAAAAAAAAAAAAGCAAATCTTTAGGTCTACAGATAATTTTTGCAAGACCAGAATACCAAAAAAGGTTGTCCAGAAAAATACAATATACTGTAAGTATGTTTTTATTTTTGTAATGACAAAGGAAGTTCTGGTGCAAAAGCGGTAAAGCAGTGTGAGAGCGAAAGTGGTTAAAACCTATGAAGGGTTCGTACCCTTTCACATGCTGCAAAAGCGCTTTAGTTGTTGTTTGTGTTCCCTACGGCAGATTCTTCTTAATTCCTGTCTCAGTGACCACAATGAAAAGTAAACTCTCCTCAGTCACGGGACTCCGTCTCTTCCCTACTTTCTTCCCAAAAAAACGAAACAAGCATGTTATTGGCTTCAGCACCATTGTAATTTTTGGTTGTCATTTTCCTTGCTTTTTTTTTTTAGTTGAGACCCCCAGGTGGGAAGAATGATTTTAATATCAATGGGAAGGGAAATGTATGGCGGCTGTTTTAGGAAGCAGTTATGAATATCTTTCTCTTCTGTTTTTGATTGGATTTCTCCCTGGGAGGGTCTTTTAACAGGATGTTTACATGTTTATATGCCTGTATTGTTATATATGGAAACAATAAATAAATATTATACCATTGTAATGTTTGGTAGAAAGCATTAGTTCACTGACTCATTTTACCTTTCTCCTGGAGTTTCTCATTTAGTTAACAGTAATAAAAGGTGTTTTGGCATCACTTTCTACAGGTAGGATTTACTTATCTATGATTTCATTGGCAGATTGATTTTTTGACACTTTAATAATGCAGAAGATTACTCTGCTCTAAGATGCCAAAAATTAAACAAGACAAACTGACTACTACAAAATTGTTAAACAAGTTATCTTTATTAATCATTTAAAAAAAGATTACAACATATATACAACATATATTTTACAATTTACATCAATGATTACTGCAAAATATGTGGGGGTACTATAAAAAATTAAATGTGGAATTCCGTTCACCATCTTGTCATTTAGTCATTTTATACCAGTCCAAAATGCACCACTTTGAGAGATCCACTGCTTCCGGGGCCCTGGAAAACATGCAAATATATTAAAGAGACCCTGGAATAATAAGACAGATGAACCTTGATATGGACAATGTCAATGTAATGAAATGTATGCCTATTAGCCTTTATTCACATACACATACAGTATATCCATAATATAAACTAAACATTTTAAAGTGTATTTCCACTTTTGCAGTCAAGCTTGAGAAACCCCCACAATATGTTTGTTATGTGTTCCCATATGTGCCACATCCCATTACTGAGTAAGTATAAGGAAAATGTACAAATAGAAGACTTTTAAGGCACTCACTCAGAACACTGTTTAGTGTTTTAGATAATAAATATTCTTTATTAATATACAAATCAACTATTTAAAAACATAAAAATATAAACCAATAAAAGGTGGCTCCATCCGAGATACTATTGTGTCACTATATCTTCCCATCCATAACACCTCTTTGTATGCTTCTCAAGATAAGTATAACTAGTACATGCAGTACTCATTACATTACAATATAGGTGTTCATATCAGATTCATCTCTACGCGCTTCTCGCATGGATCTGCTTCATCAGGAGACATACTAGGAGTATATAAAACAACATGTAATTTACTGAACACCTATATTGTAATGTAATGAGTACTGTATGATCTATGAGGGATTAAAAACCCTATTTATACTTACCTTGAGATGAGATTACCTAAGTTGTAATGCAATGAGTACTGTATGATCTTTGAGGGGTTAAAAAACCCTATTTATATTTATCTTGAGATGCATACAAAGTGGTGTTACGGAAGGGAAGACCTACTGAGATAATAGTATCTCTGATGGAGCCATGTTTAATATTGGTTTATATTTTTATGTTTTGTTAATTTTCGATTTGCATATTAATAAAGTATATTTATAATCTAAAAAATTAAACAATGTTCTGAGTTGATGCCTTGAATGTCCACCATTTGCACATTTTGCTTATACTTACTACACAGGTGTGACTAACTGTCTAGCTTTTATAGAGAAGAACAGGGAAAGCTCCTATTGCACCAAATGAGTGGAGTTGCTTTCCTTAGTTCAGTAAGCTGACAATGGTTTTGTTTTTACAGAAAGGATGTAAGGAAAAATCTGCACAAGAGACACAGACAAAGGCCCAAAAAAGAGGTCCTAGCTTTCCCACTCGACAAATATTTATTTTTAATGTATTTCTGTCTGCATTGCTTCTGGAGATTTTCCTTCACTGTCTGGTGAAATGTTATCAGCAGGACAGGATTTAGAGCAAATCTTTCTAATGGAACCTAGGATAGTAGTAAAATCCCAACAGCGTCTGACCCTTCCATACTCTATCCAAAACTAAAAATAAAAGTTTTGGCCTAACATGCACTTTAATTTATACCCTTTCTGGTAAGCCCTGATAACACATAGTAATTGGCAAATTTGCTGGAGACTGTGCAAACAGATTGCAACACCTGAGTCAGATCTCTCAGCAAAGAATGATGAGCTGCTGCATGTTATCAGTTCATAGGCTACCTCTTACTTTATCTCATTGTAATTTTCTCCTAAAAATGTTCAGTTCACAAACATAAATATTGCTCAGCTCCTGAATGTGTATTTTTGATTTGAGCCTCATGTATGATCACCATTTATAATTAAAGATGCAAATAGTAATGTGTTGAACCCATAGCAACAGCATCAGCTATCACTAGACTGACACTGCAGGTTCATGAAGAGTAAAATGTGGCTGACTGCTGTGAATTACTACAAATCATTACTATATTTATGCTAGGATATTAAAATGACCCATGATGTCATATGCAGAATATGTGCATACCTCTTTAGATGGATCCTCCTCTCCTGTAAATACAAAACATTAAGAGTTTAATGTCTTCAAGTAAAAATATGTTAAACATTGTTAGAATACACATTTTGTTTTACTTTGACAAAGAACTGTTTTTCTCATTCATAAACAGTACTGCACATAAGACTTAATTCACAAAGCTTCAATGTGAGAATAGGTATCTTTACACTAGCCCAAAGCCCATTGACACAGGCCCTATGATATGGTATACATTGGCACTGCTCTGGTATAGGGTAAATAAGAAAGATGTAATTGTGGAGGTGACCAAGGTAGGAGTGCCTGGAGCACACAATGAATTTCCAGTTGTAATTAAACGGCCGGGCGGGAGTTTCTTGGATGGCTGTTTACATACAACCGGTCCGGCAGCTATAGAGCCACTGGATCGCTTGTATAATGCATGCGGGTGTGCGGCCATCAGAAGAAAGCTCTATCTGCCCCCCAAAAAATTGTACAAAATTAATTTCAGTAGAGCGTTGCAGCAGTGACTAAACGTCAGTCAAAGTACCGCAGCGCTGAACACTGAAAAATGGCCTGGCCAGGAAGGGGGTGTAAGTACCTGGTCTTTAAGTGGTTAAATAGTAACCAGCACACGCTGTGCCTGGCTTCTGACAAGCTACGTTTATTACTAGCGTACCGGGGAGGCCCGCTGCGCATCTTGCATATCCTGTCAGCAGCGTGGCGCTGCAAGGCTATAGTCCGGTCATGCTGACTGATGACATTTTTCACTGGCTGGTGAGACACCCTAAAAATTTTCAAGCCCTGTATATATAGATATATATATATACTTTAAAGTGATATTAAATTCAAAATGTTTTAGGCTATTTCCAATGCTGAATAAATCACTGGTCCTGATATCCTGTTTTAGTGTGGCTCCTTTCCCCTGCAGGGTTTCATGGAGCCACCCTTGTGTTATAGCAAGCTGTGTCTCTCTCTACAAACACACAGGCAGCTGCTCCTTCCCCCTTCCTCCCTTCTCCAAGCCAGTAGATGGACAGCTGCTGTAGACTGTTCTGTCCCTTGTGATCTTGTACTCAGGAGAAGGTTCATGGAAGTGGAGCTGAGAGGGTTGGAGCCACTGTTTGGAAAAACATGATGACTAAGTGCTTGGGCAAAAAATGTTTGGGAGTTTAATACTAATACCAAGTTTTGCAAAGGTTGAATTACTATCCAGCTTCTTTTCTCTCTTTGTGAGATCCCAGGGTCAAAAAACCTTCCTACCTTAGTTTGGGTCTTTCTCTCCTCCAGAAATACCATAATTATGGTGTCAGTCTCTTGCAGTTGGTTTCTCCATAATTTTTTTTTACACAGTGGAAAAACAATTGACTATGGTAAATAGCACCATAGTGTGTAAAATATATAGCAATTGGGCAGAACTTGGGGTTCTGGTGGAGATGCCTCCCCATTGAAATCCTCAAGGGGTATAAGAATACAGTATGTGACTCAGTTTGTTAGCAACCACAGAAAACTGCTCCAGAAATCAGATATACTATTTTGTTAGGGGTGCTAATGATGATGGCTGGTTACCACAATCCTCGTTTTGTTTTTTGCACAGCATAAACCTATAATATATGTAGAGCCTCTACAATTAATATTTCTTCTTTGCAACATTTAATATCAATAATGATATCTGAGCTTCACAACATCACATAATATCAGTCAAGTAAATGCATTATAAAAATGAAAACATGGCTGTGAATATCATTCAGAGGTAGATTTCCCTGTAACCAGGATTGAAACGAAAGCTGGTGTTTAGGTTGCATATACAACTTGGTGGAGGACTGGAGTATTGCCCAGTCTGATGTTTCCTGCGGCTCCCAATCCATTTCACAACTAATCTGAGGTATTTAGCACATAGCACAGGATGGGTGAAAGGGGCTGTTATAATTAGGCTCTATTTAAGTATTCTCATGATTAAAGCAATTTCATAACAAATTAGGTGAGTTAGAGCAGTTCTTAAATTTTTCAACAAAAGGCCAGTTCCCTGTCCTTCAGTCTGTTGGGGTGCCAGACCGATGCCAGTGGGAGTTAGAAATGGCCTGATGTAAATCACAGCAAATAATGCCTTTGGGTTGGTGATCATTGGGAGTAAAATATGTGCCAGGGTCAACGGTTAGCGGGAGTAAGGGATTCCCCAGGGTCGGTGATCAGTGGTGTAAACAATACCCCGGCATCAGTGATCAGTTGAAGGAAAAAAACACCCTAGCATCAGATGTCAGTGGGAAGAGGAATAGTGCCCTGCCATTGGTGTCTGTGGAATTAGGATAGCCCCCTCAGCACTGGTGTTCAGAGACCACCTATCTTTGTATATACTGTATGTTCCATGCTCAACATTGCTCCTCTACTGGTGGGATGACATCATGATGAGAATTATACAGGAACCATTGGCCAGGAGATCAGTCTGCCTAACAGTGCTAGCTAAGATACATTTACACTTTGCATTCCAGTGATCGGCACCTGCTGCAACTCTGGATACAGGGGATCTGCAAGCAGGGCTTATTGTCTAAGAACTGGTTAATGGCAAGCAGCAGGCAAGAGGAGAGAGAAAGAAGGTATGTGCACTGCACAAAACACAAAAGTATATGAACAGCTTTTATTCGTTAGAGAATGTAAAATCCGCGCTTATGGGTAGGTCTGATATAAAAGCTGCTGCGCTGTAAACCCTAGGGTTAAAAATGGATGAAGTGTAAATTGTGCAGCGCTGAAGGTGATAATAAAGTGAATATGTAAATATATAAATATAAATATCCCAATCTAAACATATACAGGTGAAACTCGAATAATTAGAATATCGTGCAAAAGTAATTGCAGTAAGTGCTGCAAAAGGGGCCCAAACCAAGTACTGAGTACATATGCATGCTTGTACTTTTCAGAGGTCCGATATTGTTCTATGTACAATCCTTGTTTTATTGATTGCATGTAATATTCTACTTTTTTGAGGTTGTGGATTTGGGGTTCTTGGGGTTTTCATGAGCTGTAAGCCATAATCATCACAATTATGACAAATCACGGCTTGAACTATCTTGCTTTGCATGTAATGAGTCTATCTCATATATTAGTTTCACCTTTTAAGTTGCATTAGTGAAATAAATGAACTTTGCACGATATTCTAATTATTTGAGTTTCACCTGTATAATGATCACAATATAAATAGTACTCCGTGTATATAGTGCAAAACCTTGATTCAGTATTAGTGGTAAAATGACTATTAAATAACCACAGTGTAAAAAATATTATTTCACTCTTGTGTCATCATGGTAGTGAAAAATAATTGACAAATTGTAAGTGGCTCATTTGCCAGTAAAATATAAACCGTAAATAGTCCAAACTTTAAAACAGTCCCAATAGGTGAAAAAACAGTGATGTATTTCCGAGTGAATCCAATGAAGACTTCAAACAAATATTTTAAAAATAATAGATAAAAAATAATAGATAGATTCTTCCCACACCAACGTGTTATAAGTGTTTTTCCGAATTGCCCCCTTTCGGGTGTGCACTCAACCCACTGTTGAGGTGATAATCAGCGATATCAGATCAGAGGGTCCACATCTCAGATGTCTCTTTCGGCAGTATCCTGGTCTATGACCTCCTGAGGACGTCTTTTTATGACGAAACGCGTCGGGGCGGGTCTATTCGAACTGATACCACGACAGATCAGGTGAGTGCACACCCGAAAGGAGGCAATTCGGAAACACTTATAACACGTTGGTGTGGGAAGAATCTATTATTTTTAAAATATTTGTTTGAAGTCTTCATTGGATTCACTCGGAAATACATCACTGTTTTTTTCACCTATTGGGACTGTTTTAAAGTTTGGACTATTTACGGTTTATATTTTACTGGCAAATGAGCCACTTACAATTTGTCATATTATCTAGGAATTATTTTTCACTACCATGATGACACAAGAGTGAAATAATATTTTTTACACTGTGGTTATTTAATAGTCATTTTACCACTAATACTGAATCAAGGTTTTGCACTATATACACGGAGTACTATTTATATTGTGATCATTATACAGGTGAAACTCAAATAATTAGAATATCGTGCAAAGTTCATTTATTTCACTAATGCAACTTAAAAGGTGAATTAAAGCGTCACCTATGGTCAATATTGGGCATGGTAATTTTTTGCGATTTTGCGGGTGCGTGCAATTTTAAAGCATGACATGTTTGGTGTCTATTTACCCGACGTGACCCCGCTTTTTATATTTTACCAAAAATCTGTGTAATAAATGGGTGTGGTTACTGGGGGTGTGGCCACTAAAGGGTGTGGCCACTGAGGGGTGTGGTCACTGAGGGGCGCTGTAAAGCTTTCTCGCACAGGGCGCCTAAAGGCCTAAGGCCGGCCCTGGAGGAGAGACAGTCAGGTAAGAGAGCGAGGAGAGACAGCCAAGTAAGAGAGTGATGAGAGACAGCCAGGAGAGACAGCCAGGAGGATGAGTGAGGAGAGAAAGCCAGGATAAAGAGGAGAGACAGCCAGGAGAAAGAGCAAGGAGAGACAGTCAGGGGAGAAAGAGCAAGGAGAGGCAGCCAGGGGAGAAAGCAAGGAGAGACAGCCAAGAGAGAGAGAGTGAGGAGAGACAGCCAGGAGAGAGAGCGAGGAGAGACAGCCGGGAGAGAGAGAGCAAGGAGAGACAACCAGGAGAGAGAGAGTGAGGTGAGACAGCCAGGAGAGAGCAACAGCAGACAGCTAGGAGAGTGAGAAGATACAGTCAGGAAAGAAAGAGAGGAGAGATAGGTAGGAGAAATAATGCTGGTTGATTACTAAAAACTCAGATGACATAATTATTGTAGATATTATAGAGACCAGTGGGGGTGTTTTCTCTCTGCCCCATTCTATGCTTGGCCTTTCACAAAAGGCATGGCTGGAGTATCATCATAAGCTGCATTTTCTGAATAGGCAAGCATAGAGTCTAAGGTACCACTGCAAGGGAATAAAACCTGCCCCTGAACACATCTTAATTGTGTATCTGTCTAGACTGAAATTTTGTCTC